AAAGAAAAGCTTGAATTGTGACAGCGAAAAGTGCCTCATGAGCGCTTATAAAAGTCAACAATTGAAGAGGAGAATCTAGCGAAGGGATTGGGAGCGGATAAAAGCGAAATTGAAATTAATACCATTCTCAAAGCTGGAGATCTCCGGGCATGGCATGAAAGGAAGACGGCTTACAGCACAGGAACTGAAAGAGTTAACAGCGACCCGAAGGAGGAGGGGAAGAAGCCGGAGGCAAGAGAAAAACAGAGGAAGCCCCTCCCGTCACTGAGAGGGGAAAAGTAACCAGCGCGTTAAAGAAGCGGTTTTGAATGTGCCCTGAAGAGACTTTTTAACAGAAATTCAAAGGAACATTACTAACAAATTAACATAGAAAGTAACTGGAATGGAAAAAAGATGTTTGACAACACGCAGAAGAAGCCTTTGATGATTGGACATTACTAACAGTTTAATCTAACAGTTAATACATCACTCAGCTTTCTCTTCCTCCCACTATATACCCTCCTTATCTTTCTTTTTAAGCGAAACTCCTCCCCTTTTTAGTGGAGTCAATAAAATCTTTATACAAAAAAAAAAAAAACCAGGATCACGAAACTGCGGAGGAAATTGGGCGAAGCCGCGAGTCAAAATGCAGCCCCGCAGCTTCGGTGTGAAATTGACATGTTTGTGTCGGGGCAAACGGCGGCTGCGCCGCGAGGCAGCTCTAGTGCGAAATCGTCCTAGCAGATGACCTGAGTGCTGCATGTGTTGCTCTCAAACTTACAAAGTATGAGCCAAGGTTAGACAAATTATCAGCAAAAATCACATTAATTGTTCAAAAGCATGCCAAATGCAAACTTTTACCTTTCAATAAAAAGTTGTTTGTATCATTGAAAGCTCTGTTATTGTGTTTTTCTTTTAATACAAAAGATGTTAATGTATGAGTTGTTTTTTCTAAACTAAAACCTCATTATTCAAGTTAAATTGCCGTGTTGGCACTTTGCAATAAATAAGTGGGTTTTGGGTTGCAGTTTGGGCACTCGGTCTCTAAAAGGTTTGCCATCACTGTTCTATGCCATTTTAGTACAGTCAGAGAATGCTTGTCTTTCCGTTTAGCTGCAATTGTCACTTTGGCAACGGCTAAGAGAATAGCTATCAAGTCTCTGTGTAAAGTTGGGACCGATTGATCATGCCAAAGGTTCAATAAAATAGTTGCTGTAGATTTTCCTGTCCTGAAAAACAAAAAAGGCTCTACATCTGACAATAGCACTACAGATAAGATTAGAATTTCAACAGCCAATCCACATACAAAAGAACCTCCTCAGGAAACAGGAAACCTCCTCAGAAAACAATGTATATACAAAAGAACCTCCTCAAGAAAGCGCCTCCATTAGCATGTTCATAGCCTGGGGAACTCCTACAAGATAATGACTCAGCCCTACCCCACCTTCTGGAGTAGATATAAATTACCTGCCTACCATTTTTCTTCTCACCTTGACACAGAGAGTACTCCATCTTTCTGTGTTATACCTCTGAGGATGTCAGTCACAGCTACTGGTGAAACGTCAGGTCCTACAATGCCAAGACCACAGCCACACAACCCGGAAAATCTACAGCAACTAATAAACTTCAGACGTGAAAGTCTTCAACAACATATTCAATAAAATAATTTCTGAATGCATGGGGACCAAATATTCTGTGATTTTTTTAATTTGGAGGAGGTGGTGGTGATGGTGGTTGGATTTATACCCCACCCTTCTCTACCTGAAGGAGTCTCAGAGCAGCTTACAATCTCCTTTCCCTTCCCCTCCCCACAACAGACTCCCTGTGAGGTGGGTAGGGCTGAGAGAGCTCTTTTGAGAACTGCTCATGAGAGAACAGCTCTGAAAGAACTTGTAACTGACCCAAGGTCACACTAGCAGCTGCATGTGGAGGAGTGGTTCTCTCAGATTAGAATCCGTGCTCTTCATCACTACTATTTTTGCCAAACTCTTCTTATAGTACTACAATCCTACAAACAGTGAATAAAAGAACCAACCTCACCACATTCCTTCCAACACAGGTTAGGATTTAGGATCTATATCTGGGGTGGCCAAACTGCAGCTCGGGAGCCACATGCTGCTCTTTCACACATATTGTATGGCTCCCGGCAGGGCGGCTGGGGAAGTGAGGGGGAGGCATGTCTCCCTGATTGGTCTTCCCTTCCCCAGTCAGTGTTCCCCTCCCTGGGTAGGATTGAGGTGCGGGAAAGCCGAGAAAGAAAGCAACTTTAACTTTAAATGCCTTCTCAAACCTCCCTCCTGCCAGCTGGCTTGGAGAAGGCATTTGTTTCTTTAAATCCCTTCTTCAAGCCAGCTGGCATGGGGTAGGAGGGGCTTGGAGAACGGATTTAAGTTGCTTTCTTACCACCTTTCCCTTCCTCCTTCATTTATTTACTTTCTTTCCTCTCTCTCTTCCCCCCCCCCTTGCCTCCCTATCTAAACTGCCAAGCTGGCTGGCTTGGCTCGGAGAAGGCATTTGTCTCTTTAAATTCCTTCGCCAAGCCGGCATGGCAGCGGGGACAGGGGACCTGGAGAATACATTTAAAGATAAAGGTGTCCTCCAAGCCCCCACCCCACAGCCCCACCCACTGGCTTGGAGAAGGCATTTGTCTCTTTAAATCCCTTCTCCTAGCTGGCATGGGAGCATGGCGTGGTTAGAGAACACATTTAAAGTTAAAGGCGTTGTCCAAGCCCCTGCCCTGCGGCCCTGCCCACCAGCTTGGAGAGGGCATTTGTCTATTTAAATCCCTTGTCCAAGCCAAGTTGACTGGTGTGGGGGGGGGGATTGGAAATCATGTTTAAAGTTACAGTTGCTTTCTTTCCACCTTTCTTTCTTTTCACCTTTCTTTCTCTCCCTTCCTTCCTTCCTTCCTCCCCCCTCATCTATTTGCTTTTTGTTTCTGTCTCTCTCTCTCTTCCTCCATGTTTTTTACCATCTCTTTCATTCTTTCCACCTTTCTCTCTTCCTTCTTTCCTTTCTCCCTCCCCATCTATTTGCTTTCTTTGTTTTTCAATCTCTCTCTCTCTCCCTCTTCCTCCCTCCCTCCACATCAATTTGCTTTCTTTCTTATAATATTTTGACAATATTGGGTTTTGACTCTCTCCAGTCGCTAATATGTCCTCTAAAATATTCAACTTTTTAGAATCTTAAATGCTTTTCACAGCACTATTAAGGGATTCTAATCAGAAGACTGAATCTCAGACTGCTGACTGACCACAACTGACTGCTAAACTGCTGACTGAACTTTCTCTCTTCACACACTTCTTAGCTCCGCCCATACACTCTCATTCACCAACCAGTCACCTCACTCGCTCATCCCCCTCTTTCACCCCCCTTGTTCTTCTGCAACTTACCAAACATTTAAAGAAACACACACTTAAAACTTTAAAGCATTACAAACTTCTGACACCATGTAATTTTTTGTCTGAACCAGGCATAGAAGATAATGACATTCAGGCATCCACACAACAAATAGTCTGGTTTATTAACATCTCAGAAGTGCCTCCATAAAAAAGGCTGTACATTAAGTCAAGAGGAACAGACAGCTAACTGCCAACACAAAGCTAGGCTAATAAATACTTTACACCTCTGCTGAGAGATTGCTCCTCTTAAAGGGACATTACATCACAAAAGCTGCCCAAGTCATAAGTGATTGAACGTGTTTTTGGCTCTTCCTTGCGTATCTTTTATCTAACCATCAGTGTCCTGATTTCAGACAAGTAGGTGTCCATTAATCTGGAAGCAGGAATTGAGTTCTGTCTTACCCATAGCTGATCTACAGCTTTAACATAATTGCATGACCGATTCCTTTGGAGACTGTACCACTTCAGATTATAAGAGCAGAAAGACCTGAGTTCTTCCCTGCTTAGAAGAATTTGCTACCTGTAGAAAACTAGTTCTCAAAGAGTAAGGGCTAGTTTAGATTCTTTTTTCCTGGTACATTGTCTGTGCACAGAAAGTTTTATACAATGTGAAAAACATTTTTTTTAAAGCTTATTTGCCTGCAATGTGAAGCAGTGGTGGCTGACAAGACAAAGGCTGAACCTGTAACTCAGTTCTATGAAACAAAGAATTATAAAGTTGACAGGAGACAGAGCATAATCAAGGCTAGTTTGCCTCTCCTGTCCTCAGAAATTCACCGATATAGTATAGATCACTGTTGGGGCACAATGGCTTGGCATACAAGAAGTTACCTCATTGCAAGACACACTTTATCTCTGAAACACATTGGGTGCAGTCAGATGGCGTGCTGAGAGCAGGTTAAACTGCTCCAGTTCTAACACCTCCCTTATCCCGCCTCACTGCGCAGTCACGTCACTCCCCGGAGCGTGCGTCGGTGGGTTTTTAAATTTTTTCTCAGTTTGTGCATGCACACCCGGAAAAAGGGGGGGGGGGGAACTATCATGGCATATGTGCAGAACCACCAGGGCGAATCAATCCAATCCCTCTAAGAAAAGACTTCCCTTTAAAAGTTTGACCCGAAAATGGCCTCCGTGAGGTCCCGAACTCATCTAAACTCTAAAACAAGTGACCGTTTAAATGTTGGTTTTTCTAAACACAGTAGCAGAGCTCCGCCTATGCACACACCGCCAACTCATTAAAAAATGGCAGGCGAAAAGCTGAAACCTTGGGCAGCTTTCGAGTGGGGAGGGGGTTTAAACCGGAAGTGGCATGACACTGCAGGAGCGATCACACAGGGGGGAAATGCAGCTTTAAATGGGAGAGCTGAGAAAACACCACTTTGGGACCTGATAACAAAATACTCCGGGTTAAAGCGGCTTTGAGCCAGAAACCAACAGCTGGGGACGGGAGGCAGATGTTGACTGTGTGATAGTGCATATAAAATCCATTGCTGAAGCGTGACAACACCAGATCAAACGGTGCATCTGAACTGTGTCTCATTCAAAACTGATTCTTTGGATACAGTGGCACCAGGGGGAATTCTGAACGCACTCCATGATATGTTTTCAGAAATATATAATAAAAACCTCAGGTTCATTTTTAACAATTTTATTACAGTAGAATACAGATAAGCTTTCGTTATATGCAAATAGTGTTCCCTACTGGTAGACAAAATGGGTTCTTTGTAGACAGATCATTCAAACAGAACCTACCAAAGGCTTCACTTTTACTAAATTTTTAATTACAATGGGGGTAACAATAGTAGTAACTATTACATTTTAAAAAATTATTTATGAGAAAGATATCAATATATTTTAATAAAACAAAAAGAATTGGTGGTTTCAGTTTTCATTGTTGAGCTTCTGAAGTTGTGTTGTGTCTTCTGATTTAATGCTGAGACTTTTCTCACGTGACAAGGTTTTTTTCTGTTTTTTTTTACTGAATACCTGACTGCCACTATCATAACCAAACCACAGAGGAGGCTCATCATTATTATATTCATATTTTTGGAGTCTTGATGTATACTTAGAAACTGCTTGCCTGAAATAAAAAACAAAAAGCCAAACTTACAAAGACATCTCTTGTACAGAGAACATAATATCACGTATATAGAGAAAACTAAAACTAGCTGTTGTTTGTTTCCTGCCTGTCTGCACTCATCACCCACCCTCACTGTTGTTGTGGCACAGAATATTCACCGACTCTCTTAACTAAATAATAATAATAATAATAATAATAAGAAGAAGAAGAAGAAGAAGAAGAAGAAGAAGAAGAAGAAGAAGAAGAAGAGGAGGAGTTGGTTTTTATACTCTACTTTTCACTACCCAAAGGAGTCTCAGAGCGGCTTACAATTGCCTTCCCTTCTTCTCCCCACAACTGACACCCTGTGAGGTAGGTGGGGCTGAAAGAGCTCTGAGAGAACTGTGACTGACTCAAGGCCACCCAGCTGGCTTCACACGGAGGACTGGGGAATCAAATCCAGTGTAGATTCTAGGAGACAATGTTACCCTGGGCATAAGGTCAAAGGAGTATGTGCAAGTTGGGAGATTGAGGCCTGGAGATGTGAACAAGGAAGATAACAAAAAGCCACAAGAAGCCCAGAGACATGGAGAAAAGGTAACATGCAGAGGAAACCAAGAGAAGGGTTGATGGAAAAGGCAAAGCAAACTGATATAACAGCGAAGGCCAAAAAAGAGAGAAGGAAAATATTTCTCAGGGTGTCGCAATGGCAGAGAATGTATGCTGTGGACCGGAAATGAGGATGAGAGCCAGCAGTGCTGAGCAAACAGAGACATTATGGTAATGAATTGGATCTGCACTGTTAGAACATAAGAAAAGCCGTGCTGGAGCAGACCAGTGGTCCATCTGGTCAAGCATCCTGTTTCACACAGTGGCTAACCAGCTTCTCTGGAGGTCCAACAGCAGGGCATAGAGACTGAGGCCTTTGCCTGATATTTCCTCTTGGCATTGGTTTTCAGAGGTTTACTGGCTGTGAATGTGGAGGTTCCCTTTAGTCACCATGGCTAGGAGCCACTGGTAGACTTCAGGACAGACCAAATACATTTGGAGGCTGTGGTGGAGCTTCCCAATAGATGGGATGGAACTGGAATCTGAATACTGTATGTTAAACAAACCTTTTCAATGAAGTTCTCTCGTGTAATATAATTTGGGGGCATCTTTATTTTCAGAAGATTTTGCAGTAATTCTAAATCCCAGCAGTAGGGGGCAACCAATGGAGGAAGCTTGTTGTCATCATGCCCTATTTGGGGGAGTCTAGGAAGTATCTTGGATGCCATAGGTGGAGATCCACATTCACTGCAACTGCCTCTACTTGATATTTCAGCTAAGAATGTTTGTTTTATATGGTGATCTCCTTTAAAAAGGGGACTTATAAAGAAACATCTTACCTGGTAATATTTGGGCAGTACAGCATTTTAAGAATTCGGAGCTGCAAGCAACTTTTCCACAGGGACTTTAGTGCTTTGTCAGTAATATTTACACAGCCTGAGATATCCAAGTAATGAAGGTAAGTGCAGACTGCTCCCAAATACTGTAAACCTATATCAGTTACCTGTAAGTCAAGCAATACTCACTGAAAAATTAATTTTTAGAGACTGACAAACTATAAAATATATAAAATAATACTTTAAAAGTGAGGTTCATGGAATTAATAGAGACTATAAAATTGCATGTTTACTTTAAATGTTGGAATTATTTGGTGCAAATTAATTCTAATTTATGCAGTCTCAGATACATTTGCTGCCTTTTAATACAAGGAAAAACATTATGGGAATGCCAGTATTATGAAAATACAAAATCCAACCATATTCTCGAAGCAGTCAGAGTTTGAGGTCTAGGTTTGCTGAAGTCTTTATATATAGCTAATGTATTATGATAGTGGTCTGTAAGGATGATACTGTATTGCTTTGTCAACAGGCAATTAGTTCTAGATCATTTTAGACCACTTTAAACAGTTGCAAGATTTTCCACCTGATGATGTATCGCTATGCATTATGGTTGCCAGCTCTGGGTTGGGAAATACCTGGAGATTTTGGGAGTGGAGCCTGAGGAGGTGGGTTTTGGGGAGGAGAGGGACGTCAAAAGGGTACAATGTCATTGAGTCCATCTTCCAAAGAGGCCATTTTCTCCAGATGTTTTTCTCTGTTGTCTGGATATCAGTTGTAATCACGGGAGATCTCAAGCAACTACTTGGGGGTTGGTAACCCTACTATTCACACTAGACTTTTCTGAGACACTTTTAAAAAGCCGTTGTCACATCTATTTTGTGATTAACAAAGACCACTTAATTTAATTTCAAATTGAAATAAAATTTTATTTTGATACAAGATCAGCTCCGAGAATCTGCAATTAATTAAAAGAAAAATACATGAAATGCAATGAGCACAAAAGAACGAAAGCAAATTAAGATGGCGGACAAAGAAAGTAATGCCCTCCTCAAACAGATAAGCAAAATTACCAGGGCTCAATCAGCTGTTTGTGCATCCCACACACCCATAGGCAAAATTTGGCAACTTTATAAGTTATCTCCTGGGAGGAATCAGCAAGGAGGAGAGAGACATAAAGTTGTTATAGTTGAGAGGACTGGAGCAATTTACTGATGTCGGATATCATTGTAGCATGGGCAGTGCAGCAGAACATGTTCAATAGACTACTTTCCCTGGATGACACGGGCAAAGCCATTGAGGGAGCGGGACAAGATGGTATTTGCCTTCCAGAAGGGCTGAAGGTAGAGCATTAAAGTGTGCCAGGGTAAAAATTCTCCAATATTTGGAGATCTCAAGGGATCTAAGATAATCTGCTGGTTGAAAACATTTGACATGTTGCAGAATAACTGGATATTTCTGTATCTGAGCCCTGTCTGATTGTAGGGCATGATCCTGTTTAATTATTTATTTTGTTTATCGATACCCAAGATGAAGTAAAACTGGGGGGGGGGCATGCTCCTGGAGTTTCCCCTCAACTGCTCTTAGCCATGTTGAATGGTGACTGTCAGCAAAGATCAAGGGTACTAGACCCACCAGATCGAAGATGAGTTTTAGCCAGGAGGTGGACGCAAGTAGCCACATACGTGCCTCCAAGGAGATCAGCCCAGCCTCTAATCTGAGAAGGGCATTTGGAATATCAAAATGGTAGAGAAAACTGGTTACAGAACCCATCAGAATTTTATCCAAAGATCAAGACCTGAAGATTTTTATGAGCTGCTGTTTTTGAGAATAGTGGTTGATTGATTTGTGACATCAGAGAATATCTGAAATAGAAACGGTTAAGATGGTTCAAGTCAGCAGTGCTCGGCGGCTCAAGTTTTAATGTTCCTGGTTGCCCAGCAATAAGTAGAAAATAAAAACATTAATTTTGTTTAATGTTTAAAGTGCAATTGTAGTTTAATTTGGATTTTTAATAGTACTTTAAATGCAGGCTGTGGAAGGTCAGTAGCTCAGCAGTTCGAGACCCGGGTGCCACAAGACAGGGTGAGCTCCCATCTCTAGTTCCAGCTCCTGCCAACCTAGCAGTTCGAAAGCAAGAAATTGCAAGTAGATAAATAGGTACCACTTCAGTGGGAAGGTAACAGCGTTCCGTGCGCCTTGGTGTTTAGTCATGCCGGCCAAATGACCACGGAAACGTCTTCGGACAGCGCTGGCTCTTCGGCTTTGAAACGGAGATGAGCACCGCAACCCTAGAGTCGGATTCGACTGGCTTTCGAGCAAGGGAACCTTTACCTTTATGCATTAGTGGACTATACCACTGTATAGTAAGTACTATTGCTGTATGTTATCTCCTGCTATGTAATTTGTGCATTGCATAACATATCAGTACTTATGCTTCATTTCAGTTTTGTCTCAGATTTATGCAGTCCCAATCCTATTATATTGCTTATTGGATATCTTGTTGTTCGCATTGAGTTACACTATGTAATCCACCTCAAGTCTCAGTGAGAAAGGCAACTATATATAGCATAAATAAATAAAATTGAAATACATACCCTGGGACAACCAACCATACTGAGGGAGGTAAGTTTGTGACAGTTGAATGACAAATGTTTTATTGATTGATTTGACAACTGCCGGCAGAAAGAGAAATCCATGTAGTCAAGATGTTTAACATCCATACAGAATCTCTAGAACATAAGTCACACAAACCAAAATAAACCTCCAATGATTACTCAAGGTAGTTTAGATTCATTAAGTTTTATATGTACTGAAAACAATTGACCAATCTTTCCCCAGCACTAACACTGGGAAATGTATTTTTCTCATATTTAAATAGATAGAAATAAAATTATCAGTAGAATTATTATAACTGGAATCTGAGACACACATGTGCTCCATCTGTGTATACTGCTATACCTCTCAGAAGGTGCTCTGAACAAAAATCCCATACTGCTTCTGGATTTACTTTATTAATTTATATGTAACTTCAAAAAGTTCAAATCAACTCATTAAGTATGAACATTTTAAAATATGCATCATGAGCTATAGTATAAAGAATATAAAATAAGATGATAAAAATGTTAAAAATGACATTTCAACCACCTGTATAAAGTTACATTCAACAAACCAGAACAAGTCACTAAAGGACTACCTGAAATAAAAATTCTTCACCTCTTTCCAGAAATTCAGATGCTACTGACAGAATGAAGAGAAAGAATCCTTTCACCCCTTCCCCCCCATCCAGTGTTCCCTCTAAGCTGAGTTAGTGTGGTTTGACCCAGATCATATCCCTTTTGAATATACAGTGGAGGTGAAGAATAGGTTTAAGGGACTAGATGTGATAGGTACAGTGCCTGAAGAACTATGGACAGAGTTTCATGACATTATACAGGAGGCAGCAATCACCACCATCCCAAAGAAAAAGAAATGCAAGAAAGCAAGGTGGCTGTTTGATGAGGCTTTACAAATGGCAGAGGAAACAAGGAAAGTGAAAGGCAAAGGTGAAAAGGAAAGATTTACCCAACTGAATGCAGATTTCCAGAGAACAGCAAGGATAGATAAGGAGGCTTTCCTGAATGAACAATGTAAAGTAATAGAGGAAAACAATACAATGGGAAGGACTAGAGATCTCTTCAAGAAAATTAGAGAAATCAAGGGAACGTTCCGTGCAAAGCTGGCCATGATAAAGGACAAAAACGGTAGGGACCTAACAGAAGCAGAAGAAATTAGGAAAAGAAGAACTATACAAGAAGGACCTCAATGGTGTGATCACTGACCGAGCCAGACATCCTGGAGTGAGAAGTCAAATGGGCCTTGGAAAGCATTACTAACAACAAAGCTAGCGGAGGGGATGGTATCCCAGCCGAGCTATTCAAAGTCTTAAAAGATTATTCTGTTAAAGTGCTGCACTCAATATGCCAGCAAATTTGGAAAATGTCAGTATACATTCCAATCCCAAAGAAGGGCAATGCCAAGGAATGTTCAAACTATCACACAATTGCACTTATTTCACACGTTAGCAAGGTCATGCTCAAGATCCTACAATTCGCTGGATTATGGAGAAAGCAAGGGAGTACCAGAAAAACATATAAGGGTCAAGAAGCGACAGTTAGAACCGGATATGGAACAACTGATTGGTTTAGCATAGGAAAAGGAGTACGACAAGGATGTATATTGTCACCTTGCTTATTTAATTTATATGCCGAGCACATCATACGAAATGCCGGCCTGGGTGAATCACAAAATGGAATTAAGATTGGAATTAGTTGGCTTGAAACTCAACATAAAAAAAAAAAAAGATCATGGCATCCGGCCCCATCAATCCTTGGCAAATAGAAAGGGAAGTAATGGAAGCAATGACAGACTTCACGTTCCTGGGATCCAAGATCACTGCATATGGTGACTGCAGCCATGAAATTAAAAGACGCCTGCTCCTTGGGAGGAAAGTGATGGCAAACCTAGACAGCATAATAAAAAGTAGAGACATCATCCTGCCAACAAAAGTCCATATGGTGAAAGCAATGGTATTCCCAGTAGTAATGTATGGCTGCACGAGTTGGACTATAAGGAAGGCCGAGCGATTCTTTTGAATTATGGTGCTGGAGAAGACTCTTGAGAGTCCCTTGGACTGCAACGAGATTGAATCAGTCAATCCTAAAAGAAATCGACCCTGACTGTTCCCTGGCATGATATGGTACACGGGGTCATGAAGAGTTGGACTCGAGTGTGCGACTGAACAACATAGCATATTGCAGAGACAATTCTCTGTCTGCAATCTGTTATCCATACCAAAGACTGTCTACAACCATTTTATCAGAATACCCCTGGGACTGCCAAAATACATTCTTCCTCTAACAGCAAAGATAAAATTGCTGCTGCGTACAATTCCATTGCTTAAAATGTATTTGTTGGTGGACAAACATCAAATTGTCAAACAGAAGAAATGAGAGCACATCAGGTTGTAGTTCCTTTTAAAAGCTTGTGCCACCAGGGGTGAGGTTGAACCCATGGAAAAGCTCAGCTCTTGATGGAAAGTTTTCTCCGAGCAAAAGGTAGCACCAACTACTAAACAATTTATTTTCCTTTTCCTCCCTTTTCTTGCTTAGCTGTTTCCGATTTTTTTTTAAAAAAAGTGTACACTGCTTATCTGTATATCTGGCAGTCTTTTCAGTTCTTATGTTTCCTTGTTTTATTTCAATTTTGGTTGTATTGTACATTTTAGAATAATAATAACAATAATAATAACTTTAACAATAATATATTTCTAATTAAAATATTCATTTTCTGAAATAAACACTGAGAAACAGAAAAGGTTCAAAAAGATTGTTTTCTTTCTTGTAGGTTGTGAACCAGTTAGTTATTTGCTTTAAAATAGATTTACAACTGTATTGGATATGCTCATTATTTAAAGGAGGCAGTTAACTCACCAGTCTGAAAAGAGATCATTTATATTTATGCATTTAACATGACAAGCAGAAAACATAAATCTAAGAACCATATACACTTAATCATCATCCCATAAGATTAGTTTGTTTTTTTCACCATTATATGTAAAGTTACAGCTAATATTTGACATTGGCTGCAATCCTGCCCGCTGCATATATGGAAGTGAGTGGGCACAGCAGCCTTCCTAAGGCTCCATCCTAGCATAAAAATCTAGATCATAGACATTTCACAAGCATGTTTAGTTTGGCTGTAAATCTGACTATATGGATCCAGTGACAAAACTGCAGCCTCTCCTGCTGCAGAGCTGCTGGAGTCAAGTAGAAAGTGAACTAATTATCAAAGACAGCAGGCCCCAGCAAGTCGAAGAAACAGCACAATAAAGCATAATATTTCTAAAAAGAACATTTCACCATGTGTTAACTATTAATCATGGGGAGTTTGAGAATGGCACACATACAATTTTGACTATAACATCTATAGATTTTGTTTTACCTTTATTCCTGCATCAGAAATGGACTTACATTCCGATATAGTAATCTCCTTGATTTTGCCATTTCTGCCAAGAGCTTCCAAAGTCTATAAACATTTTAGAGAAAAGTTAGTGTGGGTTAATTTGTCACCGCTGGTATAAAGTATCTGTTATTTGACATATTGTACTTATTGTCATTATACTACTCATGTTTTTTGTTTGTTTCATTTGAATCCCTCCTTAATGTTTATGTTATTTTACTGAAACAATATAGGCTCAATTGAGGTCATATTTCCAGTCATCATGAATGTGCCACAACTAGAGTTTTCTAGGCTGTTCCGGTCAGACAAATAATGCTTGGCACAAACTGAGAACTGCCTCCAAATTATGATTTGATATTATCACTTAGAAGAAATCCAGGTTAGTGCTAACTAGATTTTACCCAGTTCAGATGTCACAGCAAACTATAGTTACAGAAACCATGGAAAGAAGGATGGAGGTTATATGTAAGTGGGGAGATGAGACCTCATAACACATACCCAAGCTAGGAGTTACCATGTTCTGGAGGGCCGGAATGTGCCATCAGAACTGGGTCATATATACACACTGATTCACATATTTTCATAGCTGAAAATGTGGCATATCCAATATTTAAAGGTGAGATAGGAAATTTATCACAGAGGCAGCAGTCTTTAGCTTTCTGCAGCCAAGAAAGAGAGGCTGAAAGAACCTGATTAAGGATAGAAGATGATAACAGTAACACAACCCAGGCCTTCACTTGGCTGTCATTTCCCCAGAAAGCATTTTCCTGGGGACATCTTCTTTGAGGGGCTGTAATGCAGACCCCATAAATCAAATCCTCACTAAACTTGGAGGGCAGCCAGAGATCCCCTATAGGTTTGGTGTCTCTAGCTTGCACAGGACCTGTTCTATACACTCCTGAACCTGCACCAATGCCCCTTCTGAACCTGCACCTAGTGCCCCAGTTGCTGAAGACAGCAGGCACTCCAGCCCCACAAGCACTGGGAACATGGAAGAGACAACCCAGAGAGGCGGTGCCTCAGCAACCCAAGATCTTGGGGAAACTTCACAGGCTGCCTTGCCTCCTCTTTCCCCAGAGCCAGGGGAACGCAGGAGGAGGTGGGCGTGCTTGGAGCTCCTCGAGAGGAGGTAGAGTGCACACCTTGCTGCCTGGCGACTGCCACATCAAGACGAACACCTGGAGTTAATGGACAGCGCTCTCGCAGCAACGAAACTCAGCTATGAGCTGCCGATAAAGGACGGGGTTTCAGAGGGGGAAGATGTGGGAGCAACTTGTCACCTTCCTGAAGACGCGCAACCACTCCTTCTGGACCTGTTTCTGGCTGCTACTCCTGAACCTTTGGCTTTGACCCTGGACCTGCTTGATGACGCCTCCTGGACCTGCTTGAACTCTGTTTCTTGGCCTCCTGTGTGTATGACTCTTGAACTCTTGACTTACACTTCTGGTTAGTGATTCTGTCTTGTCCCCTTGGTCTTGGCTGAGTCTGCTCTGACCCAGGACATCAACTGTGCAACTGAACAACAACAACAATGCAGTGGAGCAGTGTTTAAGTCCCCTCACCCTTGTGCTCAGACTCCTAGATACTCCCTATTGTGTCTAGTTTACTCTCAGTCTCTTATAACTACCCCATTGTTTATTGGCAGGTGAATATTTTACAGTGATTATTAGTCAAAGTAAAACTTAAGGAAATAATGTTTAAAAATAGGTGTATTCTTGAGCATTAAGAAGCAGAGAGAAAAAACAGCTGTCACATAACGTAATATAACCTACACATACTGCATATTATTTGTATCACAAACATACTTTTTTAGTTTAAACCAATGCTTATGAGCATATTGGATTTTTTTTTCAAAGCCTATTTTTAGAAAAGTCTGCTCTGTACCCTCAGGATAACATTTCTAAACTGAAGTATGCACCAAGGGGGGGAAAGCCTTATATACATTTTAATGAAAAACATCCTTATATCCCTTTCAATAAAAAACTTAAGACACCAGAATGTTAGGCTATAACTTAAGATTCTCCTGTGATTAGTCATGACCTTTGTATAAAATAAAGAAAAGGCATCAGGTTGCCATCTTCCACAGAGGAAAAAGAAATAATAAAAGAAATACAGGAATTTGCTTTTTTAAACTCAAGCAGACTTGCTTCAGCAGCACAGAAAGAAAAAAATAACAATGGCTATTCCTTGGTCTGGGAGTGGTGAATGCCTGTAAAGATCTGTTGTATCCCAAGCATCTCACACAGTCATTTCATAAGGGTGGCAGTAAAGGGGGTTACTGCAATCCTGACTGCCACAGACTCCACCATTTTCTCCAGGGGAACTGATCTCTGCCATCTGGAGAGCAGTTGTAATTCTGAGTGATCTCCAGCCCTCACCTGGAGATTGGCAACAATGGTTCCCCAGGAGCAAAAGTAGTCTTTCTCTACAATGGGGACCAAAGTGGCTTACATCATTCTCCTCTCCCCCTTTTGACTTGCACAACAACCCTGTGAGGTAGGTTAGGCTGCAAGTCTGTGACTGGTCCAAAATCACCAACTCAGCTTCTACAGCAAGAACCTGGATCTGAAGTGCTGACTGCTATGCCTATGGCAGCCAACCTCCAGGTGGAGCCTGAAGATCACCAGGTATCACAACTGAACTCCAGACAACAGATCTCTCCCCCCCACCGAGAAAAAATAACTGCTTTGGAAGGTGGGCTGTATGGCATTCTGTTCAGCTGAGGCCTCTCCCCTCCCCAAACCCTGGCTTCCATAGAATGTGTTTTATAGTAATGAGTTTTATAGTAGCTGTTGTACGTTTGGCTTACGACCTCTGGTCAATGAAGCTAATAAATGAAAGGAGACTCTACCAGAAAATCTCCAGGAATCACCCTACCTGGAGCTGACAACCCTAGTCAGGACTGGCCCCAATGAGTTCCTCACAAAGGCCTGCAAAGGGTTTCCTTTGTCTGAACCAAGCTTGGATGCCTACCATGGCGAAACGGGCTTCAGTTTACAACTCAGCTGTTTGCCTCCCACCCTCGTTCCGTGGGCGTATCTCACTCCTTAAGTTTGCTGTCACCACTCACGGAATCGTCACTGCCTTTTTAGAAGGACAGTGAGACCCCTCTGGTCGAATCTCCAATCTTTGGGGGATCCCTGGAAAGTTGGCAACCCAAGGTTCATGCCTTTCCTTGCTTCCCTGAGCTACCCCCTCCCTTTGGTATTGTGCAGAGCAGGGAAGACTATGTGGTCAGAGCACAAAACAGATTATTAGCACCAATTAAAGAATTTATTTAACTATTTACACAGTTCTGGAGCACACACACACTGTAGGAGTAAGCACACATTATGAACCAACAGAACATAAATCAACAGGGGTTAAATGCAATCCTTTTTCCCTACCTACACAGAATACTCTCTACCTCTGGAGGTTGTGGGCTCACCTGTACTTCAGCCTCTTTCTCTTGCCCAAGAAAGCAGGGAAACATCCATTCATTCCCCAGTCCAGCCAACTGTGGAGTGGCTGAATTTCTGCTGCCTCCCAGGGACGAAGACTGCCTTCGGACAGTCCCTGTTTTCCTGCACTTTTTGGCCATGGGGCAGCTGGGAACTGTAGGCCAGCAGATGAAAAAGCCCCATTCAACCCAGTGAGTGATACCCCTGCAGGCCCCTCTCTGGAACTACAGCTCAATTAAACCTCATGGGGGAACATTTTAAACAAATAACCACAGCCATTTTACAAACACAGGTAACTGCCATTTTGTGATGCCTACCAACAGCCACTGAGGGAAAAGTTAGTCCTAAACAGGAAAAGTGTCTTCGTCAAGAAAGAAAGCCATTTGCCAGTAATTCTGACAGGACACAGTGGCTGAAGGAGGTGTGGGTAGGGAAGAGGAGCAGACCCAGCACCCGGCTAATGGCACACAAGTACTCTTGAGTGGCAGCTGATGGGCCAATGGCTGAGGGCAAGCATGGAATCTTTCCACCCTAAAACAGGATTATAATATAGGAGAGATTTACTTCATATATACTCCACCTTTCACCACAGTGGGAACCAAAGCAGCCTCTCCTCTTTTTTATCCCCACAACAACTCAGTTAGGTAGATTAATCTGAATGCATGTGACTAGTCCAAAATCATCTAGTGAGCTTCCACAGCAAGATGGGGATTTTAACCTGGGTCTCCCAGACCCTACTCTGAAGCTCTAACCACTGCACCACACTGGTTTCGATAGGGTGGCTGCTGTTGAGCAGTAGCAAGCAGCCAGTCCTAGTTGAGTAATGCAAATTGGATGGGAGCAAGTCACCCAGAGGTTGCTGCGAGGCCTAAGGTTGCCAGCAATGTTCCCTCTAAGATGTGGAGTCTTGTGAGCAAAAATTCTGCTTTTTGAGCTACTGGCATTAAAGTTGTGAGTGAGCAATTTGGCTACTGCATAAATTAGTTTGCTCTGGAGCCATCCTTCCTGAGCTAAGACAAAAATGTGTGAGCTGGAGGCTAAAAAACTGTGAGCTAGCTCACACTAACTCAGCTTAGAGGGAACACTGGTTGCCAGCCTCCAGGTGGAATCTACTCTACTTGGGCTTATCCAGGCAGATAAACATCATAGCCAATGGGATCAACTGCCCGACATGTGAAAGCTGAGCAGCAAGTGGGTGAACTCACTGGAAGCGGGTGAACTCACTGCTCGGCCTTCACTCATATGCCATGCATTTTGCAAAGCCACCCAGCACACATGTGAAGGCCGAGCAGCTTTGCAAAAAGCCATTTAGAGGGAGTGTGTTTTGCAAGCCCTGCCCCCACATGAACCTATGAACCTCCTGGCACAGTAGTAGAAGGTCCATGTCAGCAGATGCACAGACTGGGCTCACAGACCACGAACTGTGTCCCGGTCCATGGAAATATTAGGTCCATCTTGTGTTATAGCTCAATGTATTTATAGTTTATATTGTAATTTTAATGATAATAATTTTATTGTATATCTATATCTATGTTGTTAGCCGCCCTGAGGGAGGGCGGAATATAAATATAATAATAATAATAACTATTGGAAAAGAAAATGAAATGCCTAGGAATGACATGATTAAGAATACAGAAACTAAAGAAATTATAAGACAAAATTAAAAATGTGTAAGGAAGTTGGATGTTACAAGTACATCTATTAGGGCACGCAAGATATGTTCGACACACCATTTGGGAATTGCCCTCCTGATGCAACTGCCAAGATATTTTTTATCAATTTACAGTCCCAAAACTGAATGTTCTTCCCTTGGCAGTTTTGGAAGGCAGATATAATAGAGAATCATACTTTAATAGAATATGCAGATGCTCTTATGATACAATTGAAGCCATTGAACATATGATTATGGAGTTCCCTATATTCAGTGAGTTGAGGGCTACTTTAGTCACCCCTTTACTTGAAGATACAGAATTCCTAAATGTGTGAGCCCAGGTGTCATGGCTACTATTGGATACAAATGACCGTGTCACCCCCTCAGTGGCAAAATTTATAGGTGCAATAATCAAATATAAGAGAAATAATACTGGGTAAGGTCTTTTAAAGTATATTTTTGGTTCTAATTTCTGCTTAAGGTGACAGCCATATGAGCAGTACTATAAATAGAGTGGATGGAGGAATGTAAACAGAGGAAAGGATAACTGTCACGTCCTCCAACTTTAATAAAAAAGTAATAATCAGATCATCTGCCACCAGGAGGTCGCAAGGTCCTATATTCAAACTAGCTGAAATTAAACAAGGTAAGCCCACTGTGGCTCCCCCCCCCCCGAACTATAACTGCTCTTTGATAGAAAGGTAAGCAGAAAATATAGGTTTGTCCATTAATCAGGTCTCCTGAAGAAGTAAAATATCAAAAGAAGACATACAAACTTTAGTATCTTTACAACAGACTCTTGAGGACTAGCCAGCTATATTCCAATTCAGAATATGAAGTCCATGAGTCCCAGTTAGCCAGTTTTTCAGCTACTGAAGTATCTAGTGCTGGCAATTTGGGGGTATTCCCTGGATTAATTATAATTTTTGGCTCAAGAAGAATAGAGATTTTTCCTCTTGTTGAACTTGGATCATGTGGCTTCTTACTAGTTAGAGAATGGGTGATAATATCTAGGGGGCCAGCTAAAGATTTCTTATCAGGGAACTTGTATGGATCAACAAATGATAGCTTTTAAAGGTAAACTGGCTGGTTTTGATCCCGATTAATCTGTACTAGTGTGTGCTATAATTTCTGGAATTGGGCAATTATATTGCCTTGTTCCTTAAAGAGCAGGGCACAAAATGAGTGAAGGAGGTTTATATTTGTCAAGTCCAGCTGATTATCCGTTAGGGAGAATGGCAAAGGAGAGAAGATTTTGGCTTCATCTGGTTGACTGAAGCTCTCACAGGTCATCCTATCTAGTAAGTCTGGCTCATGAACATGAGCTTTCTTAGTTGGTGAACATTCAAAGGTCAATCACAGGTAGAAGGCTGAATTGAGTCTCTGACCGCGCTCAGTTTTTATGCCATTCCACTCGATCTCCGGCACTTGTCCCGGTCAGTCCAGCTTATGCCCGAAGGCCACTCAATGACTGGACAGTCGGGGTGGAGGGGAGCCTCAATTCTCTGGCATTACGCCATCGAAGAGGCTGCCCCTCAAAAGCCCCCTGGCCTAGAGCCTAACGCAAAGGCTCCACGGGGGTGTCACTTGAGGTGGCACACCTCCAGGCCGCTGGTGTGCGATTCGCCCTTCCCCGTCGTGGGGAGAGCGTCTGCCATCGCTGTTCCGTAGACCAGAAGTCGACTTCTCTTTGTTAATGAGTAACCCAAGGTTCTCAATGGCTTGCAAAGAAACATCCAGTCATAAACAGTGAGCAGAATCTGCTACTAATAGCCAATCATCAAGATGGGGGTACAACATACATCCCTGAACCCTGAGGGAGGAGATGACTGGGATGCACTTAGTAAAAACCCTGGGCACTGTAGCCAGACAGAAACGTAAGACATTGTACTCGTATATGTGGCCTCATATGTGAATCTTAGGTATTTTCTGCAAGCTTCATGTATAGCCACATGAAAGTACGCATCCTTCAAGTCCAGGATGGCAAATCAGAGTCCCTGAATTAGCAAGGGAATTATTTCTTGGAGGGACAGCATTCAGAACTTTGAAATTCTCATAAATTTATTAAGATCTCTAAGGTCTAGAACAGGCCTCATGCCTCCATCCTTCTTCTGTATAGCAAAAAGAAAGCCAGAGTAAAAACCATAATGGTCAGAGTTCCATGACACTCCAGCAATAGCCCCTTTACCAAGTAATGAGGAAACTTGTTCACTAAGGAAAGTAGAACCACTCTCAAACATATTTGAAGGTAGGCGGCAAGGAGGCATAGACTCAAATTCCAAGTCGTAACCAACCTTAGTTATAGATAACACCACTTGTTATCATAAACCATGAGCCCTAGAACATTGATAACTCATTCAAGAAACACTCATTCATACCTAGTATGTTAGAACCCCTTTGTTGGTTGTCTCTGGGAGACTGTGAGGACTGCTTATTTCTCACCTGAGTGGACCTCTTGTTCTGGTGATACACATATTGTGAGCCAGAGGTCTGATTGGTATAATTCTGACTAGAGAATCTTGAGTCAGAGTATTTGAAAGGTCTATTGTAATTACTGAGTTGGGGATTCTTTTGCCAGTCCCTCTATCTAATTCTGTTGGGGAGCATTAGATGGAATTCCAAATGCCTCAGCCAGTGTTCCCTCTAAGCTGAGTTAGTGTGAGCTAACTCACAGGTTTTTAACCTCCGGCTCACACCTTTTTGTCTTTGCTCAGGAAGGATGGCTCCAGAGCAAACTAATTTATGCAGTAGCCAAGTCGCTCGCTCACAACTTTAATGCCAGGAGCTCACAAAGTAGAATTTTTGCTCAGAAGGCTTCACAGCTTAGAGGGAACTTTGGCCTCAGCCATAATTTTATATTTTCTTTTGGGGGATATTTTTTGTATTTTTCGTGTGTGTGTGTGTGCGTGTGTGTGTGTGTGTGTGCACGTGTGCACCTGGAAGTCATGGCAACCTCTGGTGACTGGGGGTGGGGGTGGAGGGATCCACAGGCAGCATGCTCACTGCAGAGAGGTTGAGGGGGGCAAGGGAGTCTAGGGCAATCCTGAACAGTTTGTTTTATCTTTTGGCAGTGATCAACATTTCATGTGGCATGGATGGGACTATCAGTAGGGCACTGAAACAAAGTCAGCCACAAACTAGGTGTGTGGGGGGGTACTCTGGGCTTGCACTAAATTACGTGTTCACAAATTTCAAAGAAGGGAAGAACCCAACCTGGAGAACAGAATATTATTAACATAAGTTGGAAATAAAAGGGATGTGTGTGAGAGGTGTGATCCCATTGACTCCAGTTACTCCTCTTGAATTCGCTCGTAAAATCTAGGGTGGGGAAGAATTTAAAAAACTCCTTCCCAAGTGCTGTTCAGGTTCAGAGCTCAGTAAGTGTGTCCTGTTTGCTTTGTTCCAGACCTCAACACAGGGTTACTGCACAATTGCACTACACTACTGAGATTCATAGATGCAACGGACATGAAATTGAGCAGGAGCTGGTCCATGGGGTCGCGGAGAGTCGGACTCGACTGTGTGACTGAACAACAACAACTGAGATTCAAGAACTGAGGAGTAGCAAGCTACCCAGTTAGCCCTGGTACCTAGAAACTGCACACAACTGTGCTGTAGAAACCAGGATAGAGAATTGCACAGGCATTTCTTTCCTCCTTCAAAATTTCCCTCTCCTCAATTATGAAAGTGTATGTAGAACCAACTTTCTATCCCATGCTTTTGTCTTCTCACCTGATCACTGATGACAATTCCAGAAACGTTAATATGAGTCAATGAAGGCAACATTGCTAAAACCTCAATTCCATTATCAGTCACAGCTTGACAAGAGCGCAGATTCAGATACACCAGACTTGCACACCTACAGAAAAAACAAAGGAAATTTGGTTATTTCACCCTTAATTATGCCATGACTGCAACTTTAGTTAGATTTCCAAAAGACCTTAAACAACTTCCAAAACCACAATTAATTAAATTGAACTGCAAATATCAAACAACGAATCAATATGAAAATTCTGCACTCATCACTCTACCCAAGCGAACTAAAACAGTGTATATCTCAAGAAGGTCATAAAATATGCACCTTATCAGCTTATTTAAGGTGGTATCACCAGATCATTTCTCATTCCTGTTATTTTCTCATCTACTTTTTGAAATTTGTTTTACATTGTTAAACAACATTTCCCCATACATATAAATAGGAGAGCTCAGTGTTGGAAGAGAAGGGCTAAATACTATCTCATAGCTTCAGGCTCCAGAGTGGGGTTACAACTTACAAGAGAGTCAGATGGACAGGCAAACTGTGAGCATCCTACCTGTTTACTCTTCTGCCTCTGTCCCTTTGATGTGTAGACTGATACTCTCAGAGAACGGAAGATTGGATTCACTTACCAAGAAGCTTCTTTTCTCGGTGGTCTAGGAGTGGGATAGTCCTCACGCTGGGGATTGGCTCCTCCTCCTGGTGCAGGGTCGGTCTGACGGTTGATCCAGCTGAGGGAGGGGCCTTTCCCTCAGGACTGGAACAGTTGTTCTCCAAGCCATAAACTCCCCCATTGTCCCATATCACCAGAAATAAATCTCTTCACATACAGGAACACGTTACTGCCAAATTCACCAAAATAGACAGTCAAGCAATCAGGGCACCTTGGTTGCAACCACCGGTTGACCCCCTTGCAGCACTTTGCAGCAACCACTAACCTGCTGACCTAGACAACTATTCACTACCTGGAACACCTGGAACTAGAACCACTTTGAAGCTATTTGGAAAGCTACCTGGAAGCCAGCCTCCCACATGGGAGGGTAGGACTGTCCCACTCCTAGACCACCGAGAAAGGAAGCTTCATGGTAAGTGAATCTAATCTTCCATTCTCCGGTGGGCCAGGAGTGGGCCAGTACTCATGCTGGGGACATTAAAAAGCAGTGTGCCCCAGGGGTGGGCCATCCAGCCTCTGGCCTACAAGGCATGTTGAAGTACTCTGCGACCAAATGCGGCCTCAGCTGAGGCCATCTTATCTGTAATGCCTCATGAATGTGTGTACCAACTTCCAGGTAGCTGCCTTGCAGACCACTTCCAAGGATGGAAAGGCTCTATATGCTGCCGATGTGGCAGGCCCCCTTACTGAGTGTGCTTTGATTCCCTCAGGAGGTTGTATCCCCTGTGCCTTGTATGCCATGATTATACAGCCTCTAATCCATCTACTCAGCATGGAGGATGATACCAGTTTGGTGTAATGGTTAAGTGTGAGGACTCTAATCTGGGAGAACTGGGTTTGATTCCCCACTCCTCCACTTGCACCTGCTGGATGACCTTGGGCAAGTCATAGTTCTGGCACAGCTGTTCTTGAAAAAGAGCAGTTTCTGTCAGAGCTCTCTCAGACCCACCTACCTCACAGGGCGTCTGTTGTGGGGAGGGGAAGGGAAAGGAGTTTGTAAATCACTCTGAGACTCCTTTGGGTAGTGAAGGGCGGGGTATAAATCCATTCTCTCTCTTCTTTTTCTTCTTCTGCCGGCCCAAGGATGACTTCCTAATGGAGACAAACAATGCCTCTGATTGCCGCCACTGCTTGGTCCTATCTATATAGTAGCTCAGGGCCCTACGGATGTCCAGGCAGTGCCACTCCTTTTCCCTGTTGTGTTTTGGATTAGTGCAAAAGGATGGTAGTACAGTTTGTTCCAACCTATGGAACACTGAGTTCACCTTGGGGATGAACGCCGGGTCTGGTGTTGGGACCACTTTCTCATTATGGAAAATGCAAAGCTCCTGTTAACCGATAGGGCCCTCAACTCTGACACCCTACAAGCTGATGTCGCCCCAACTAAAAATAGGGTATTAAATGACAGCTCCATCAATGGGCAGGATGCATGGGTTCAAATGGATGTTTACATAGAGCCCACAGTACCGTATTAAGGTTCCAGGTGGGAAACCTGTGTACTGGAGGTGGTTTGAGTAGGGAAGTTCCTCTCAAAAAACGTTTTATGTGGGGGTGTCGGGATATTGACTTTCCCTTCTTAGAACCCCTAACTGCCATGATGGTGGCTACCAGCCTCTTCAATGTGCTGGCACTGAGCCCTTTTGTCCCGCCCATCCTGCAAAAAGGTTAACACCTCTCCCACTGAAGCTTTAAAGGGGTTCAGCTCACGCTGCAGGCACCACGAATTAAACACCTGCCAGGTAGAATTGTAAATCCTGTTGGTGGGCCCTTTCCTAGAAGCTAGAATAGTGTCTATGACCTTATCACCATACCCCAGGCCCTCTAGTTGCTGCCGCTCAACCTCCAGGCTGTGAGGTTTAGCAGAGCTGGGTGTGGGTGTCAGGTTGCACTTTGTGTTAGCAGGTTGTCCCACAGGGGAAGCCTCCAGGGATCCCGCACTGATCTGACAGAATGTCCTTGAACTCCAATAGACCCAACCTGATAGCCCTGAGCTCCAGGAAGTTTATACTCCTCTTCATCGCTTCTGCTGACCACAGGCCCTGTGTCATCCTGCCCAATGAGTGTGCTCCCCATCCCATCAGACTAGCTTCTGTGGTCATCACCACCCTTGATGGTTCTCTAATTGAGGAGCCCTGCTTGAACCTGGCTGGATCCAGCCACCATTGTAGCTCCTGCTTCAATGTCCCCAGTAGGTGAAGGAGCAGATTACCTTTTTGGGCAATGACATCCTGGAAAGGTAGCAGAAACCTCAGTAGAGGTCTGGCATGGAACCTGGACCACCTCCTGACATGAGACCATCATGCCCAGAAGTTTGGCCAGTATCATCAGACCCACCTTGGGTTTCTCTAGGACTTGCAAAAGCAGAGCCCTGATCTTTAGTTGACGCTCTATGGAGAGAAACACTCTGTCACTCACAGTGTCCTCTTGTACTCCCAGGTGAGCTAGAACCTGGACTGGAGCTAAATTGCTCTTCTCTGTGTTTACTACAAAACCGTGCTCCTGTAATATTTGTACTGTCAAATTCGTGGCTTCCATGTATGGTTGGAAGGATGTCACCATCACCAAGATGTCATCCAGGTAAGGGAAAAGGGCCACCCCCTGTAGGTGGAGATGGGCAATCAGTGCTACCAACACCTTGGTGAATACCCTTGGTGATGATTTTAGGCCAAATGATAGTGCCCTTTACTGGTAATGGGTGTTGATGCAAATTGTAGAAACCTGTGATGCATCTCTCTGATGGGAATATGCAAATAAGCCTCTGATAGATTGATGGATGTCATACACTCCTTTTCCTGAATGGCTGCCAGGATGGACTTCAAGGATTCCATCCAGAATTTATTTGTTTTTATGAATTTGTTTAGCCATTTCAGGTCCAGGATGGCTCTGATGTCCCCATTCTTCTTCAGCACTATAAAGAAGACTGAATACACTCCCTGATTCCTCTGAGAGAGTAGAAACTCCTCTATGGCCCCGATCTCCAGGAGATGTTGGATAGCCCCCTCCAACAACCTGTGTTTCTCTGCCAAGGCATTCCTTGGAATTTTTAGGATGTGTTGATGGAGAATTTGATTGAATTCTACGGCGTACCCCTTGGTCACTGTTTCCAGTACCCACTGGTCATTCCCCATTTCCTGCCAACATTGGGCAAATTCTTGTAAACGACCTCCTATCCCTAAAGATTTCATCCTTTTGGCATAGTCATGCTGTGGTTCCTTTCTTGATGTTTTTTCCCTAGTCACCTTTATTGGGGAAAGGGAGCTTGTTCTCCCTAGCTCTATGTTGCTATTTCCCTTTAAACAGCCTGTTAAAGGATGGTCTTGATGTCTTTTTGAAGTCTCAAAAGGACGGGAACTTCCTTCTAGATTTGAACTCTCTTTTCTTAGAATGTAGGACCTTCTTTTTGTCTTTGTTCTCTACCAGGTATTTATCTAAGCCGTCTCCAAATAAGTTAGCCCCTTGGAACAGCACTGCTGCCACCTTGGCTTGGGCAGAAGTGTCAACTTCCCAGTTCCTAAGCCCGTTCTTCCTTCTAGCCACCACACTGCATGCCATCACTCTAGCAGATTGTTGAAAGGCATCCAGGGTAGAATCGGCTGCAAATGCTGTTGCCAAGGCTATCTTTTTTAGTTCATCCTTGACTTCCTTTGGAATGTTGCTCTCTGCAGAAGCCAAGTTAGACGCCCAGGCATATGGTGCCCATGAAAAAAGAGATCCAGCCATAGACATTCGCAAGGAACATGAGGAGGCCTCAAAGTCTCTGCAAAAGGTTTGTTCTATACGTTTATCGTAATGATCCCTAGGTAGACCATCTGCCTCCATGGGGAGAATAGAATTGGAAGTCAGGCTCGTGACTGGGTCATCTACCATTGGCACTTAATTCTTTTGGTGGTTTCTGGAACCATAGAATAGAACTTAGGAAAAAATGGTGATTAGCCTTAGGCTTTGCAGGATGTTCCTGTTCTGCTTTTATGATGCTAAAGAAGGCTGCTGGGAGTGGTATACCAGCTTGTGGTGCAGACGCTGCTGGCATCAGCTTTT